TTCGATTCCGATGGCTTCCGATTCCGATTCGACTTCGGATTCCGATTCGGATTCCAGCTCGGAATCGAATGTCTTAGCCTACCGACTTCCGCTTATTCGACTTCTCCCGCCGATCTGACCCCTTTTGATCGCCGGCGCGACCCATCGATGCGCCTCGGGGCTCTCCCGGCCTGTTCCTGCAGCGCCCCCCGACCCCATTTAGGATGCAACTCCAGGAGAGGCCGAGCGTGTGCGCCGGTGTACCGTCAAGGCGCTGAGAAATACGGAGCAGTTTGGGCACGAAAGGGGCTCGGTGTTCCTGAGGCCATTATTTTGGTATCGCTCGGACGTGTGCATTTTTCCTTCGGCGAGGACCATATAGGAGCATCCTTGATCATTTGGCGAAAAAACCACGCACGAAACCAACAAAAACACAGGGAATGGACGTCCGAGCGATGGCCAGTTATGTGGTTGTTCCTCTAGCCCTCCTGCTCGTGCACGCTGGCGCTTGGGGGGCCAGGAAGGGGCTCCGTTCCTGATTTACCGTTCCTTATTATTTCTGCAGCCCGATTTTGCACCCGTGGTCAGAAAAACAGGCCCAATCTGGCAGATTCCCTGCTGATGCGGACAGATCCTGCCCAATCCGCAGTACCCCTGGGCTTCACCCAGCCTGAGCGATTCGGCTCCATGGCCCCAAGGTCGGGGTTGAAATTACCAGCCTCGAACGTATCCCTATCCCTAAGATTGGCACGCCAAATGGCGATGATAATCTCAGGGAGTCGCCCTCAAAAGATAAGGGAATCCCCAAGACTGGCATCGTGATGAGGAGGTGCCCAGCACAGGGATAGGGATATGTTCCAGGCTGGTAATGACAGTCACGAGGCGCTCTTTGTGAGGGCCTCCCGGGAGTGGCCTCCCGACTCCCGGTGGCCTCGTGGTCGCTGCCCAATCCGCAGTACTCCTGGGCTTCACCCAGCCTAGGCGATTCGGCTCCATGGCCCCAAGGTCGGGGTTGAAAGTCACGAGGCGCTCTTGTGAGGGCCTCCCAGGAGTGGCCTCCTGACTCCCCGTGGCCTCGTGATCGCTAAGCCCCTGCCCTGCCCGGCCGCGCCCTGCCCAGGCGGCTCTCCCGAACCCGGAGAGCCGTCTGCCGAAGGTTCCGTCGGGCCCGTCCCTCTACAGGAGGGGCCCTGAAGAAGGAACCCTTTTCGTTGGGGAGGGGCTCCGTGTTCCTTAAGTGTTTCGCAGCTTGCCTTGGATTTTCCTTAGGTTTTCGATGCGAAGTCGAAGGTCAGCTTATGGAAAATAGGGGCCTCGTTCCTTAGTTAGGGTTCCTTAGGTCAACGCCTCGACTGTACAGGAGGGAGGTTCAGAAATAGTCAAAAAAACACTCTGGGGCCGATTCTGCGACTATGTTTCGCCAGGTTTGAGCACTCTGGGGGTATTTTTAAATGTATCGTCCAAAAATCTGCCTGTAGGGGGACAGGCCCGACCTGAGCCCAAGCCGCTGTCGGAGGGCGCGCAATCTTGGGGGACGATATGAAAGGGGAGGGAAGCGAGGGCGGCAGACCCCCTCGAGGGGACCCTTTAGGGAGTAGGGCCCAACGGGGGCCCTTCTAGGAGGCCCCTCGAAGGGTACCTTCCTCTCCTCCCCCCGCCCTCCACACTCTCGCCCCCCCCCATTCCTTCGCGCCCAACGCCATTGCCCCCCCCACCCACCCCACTATCGCCCCCGCTTCCCACACTATCGCCCCCCCCCACCTACACTATCGCCCCACCACTCCCTCCCACACTATCGCCCCCCCCTCCCCCATACACTATCACCCCCCCCCCTTCCCCCCCCCCCCCCTATCGCTCCCCCCCCCTCCCCCCCATTCCTTCGCGTCCAACGCCGCGTGGCCGCTCGCTCTGGAGCCGTGCTTTTCCGGTCGTGTCACGCGCGAGGCCCTGGCCGGGTGTTGCTGCAGAGGTGTCCCTGGTCCAAGGTGCTCCCACGAATTCCAGGCAGGCCCCCCCGAAGTGGGACGCCGGCAGTTTGCGAGATTCTGGAGAAGCCCGCCGCAGGCGCCAAAGTTTCACAAATTATACAACGAGCCCGCCGCAGGCGCCGATTTTTTCGTTAAACTAATGTGGATAGGTCGCAAATGGGTCGCGGGTGGGTCGCGGGTGGTCGCGGGTTGGTCGCAGGTGGGTCGCAAATGGGTCGCGGGTGGGTCGCGGGTGGGTCGTTGTTGGGTCGCGGGTGGACCGCGGGTGTAGAGGCAGAAAATCCACCCCGTAACCCTGACAAGCGAAGCCTTTTAGTAAACGCACAAGGAATGGATCGAACATGGCAGGGCTGTTTAGTAAACGCCAAGGGCAGTTTAGTAAACGTCAATTGTAGGGTCCGGGTGGTATTTCATCCCTCGCGGGTGGGTCGCGGGGTGGGTCGCGGGTGGGTCGCAGGGTGGATCGCGGGTGGGTCGCAGATGGGTCGCGGATGGGTCGCGGGGTGGGTCGCGGGTGGGTCGCGGGATGGGTCGCGGGTGGGTCTCCGCGGGTGGGTCTCGGGTGGGTCGCGGGGTGGGTCGCGGGTGGGTTGCGGGTTGGGTCGCGGGTGCGTCGCGGGGTGGGTCGCGGGGTGGGTTGCGATGTCGAGTGGCCTTCAGCCAGTCCCGCCGCCGCCGTGCTTGGCTAGTGGATCATACTACCCCGTGCGAAACGCAATTGGTGTCTGGTGAGCCCCCCCCCTGCCCCCCAGTGCAATGTTGATTGATCGCGCGACTGGCGAAGCTCGAAAGACAAATCGGCACCGCATTGGACATTGAAGTTTGGGGGGGTGGGGGGGGAGGGGGTGTAGAAAAACACCTTGGGTCCACCACTTTGGCTCGTGTTCTTTTCCGACGCGTGTTTGGCCATCAGGGCCGTGGACTTCGAGGGGATCATTTTTGCTGACGATTTGAACGCCTTCCAAGAGAGTAGTGCTGATGTCGATGACGCTGCAGCGTTGCTTTTTGCACGGGGGGGTAACCCTCTCGGGTATTCGTTTGGGATGTCGCGGGGGGCCTCTGGGGGGCCGGTTGGAGAGGCCTCGCGGGAGCTGTATTGGGGGCCTCTTGGGGGCGTCTGGAGGGCCTGTGGTGGTGGCCTCTGCGGGCGTCTCGGGGGCCGCTAGGCGCCTCCTCGGGGCGGAAGGCTCGGATGTTCCGTTCGTGCTCCCCCTTCTTTTAACGGGCGAAGAACGGTATAAAGTAAACTTTTTCGCTGTCGGGGGCGCCTGTCCCTGGGCGGCTGGAAAGTTTATACCCATACGGTGGCACAGTAGGGGTATAAATTTTCCAGCCGCCCAGGGACAGGCGCCCCCGACGGCGAAAAAGTTTATTTTGTACCGTTCTTCGCCCGGTAACTCTTGGGCCATCATTGGGGCTACCTTTAGGCCCCATTTGCGCCGCCTGGGGGCCCTCTCGCGGGCCTCCTGGGCCGTCTTGGGGTGGTCGCGGGGGCGTCCTGGGCCGTCATGAAGCGTTGGAGGCTCGAGAACTCGAGGGTCCCCAACGCATTGTAAAGCCCGAGGAAAAACCAACAATGGTGGTGGTCTCTCGGAGCCCTCCTGGGACGGGTGGCTGGCTCTTCGAGGCCTCTTGGGACGTCTTGAGCGCTCGTGTGGCCGACTGGAGACCATCTTGAGGGTCTTGGACCGATCGTGCGGCGATCTGGAACGCTCTTGGACCGTCTTAGGGCCCTCTTGAGCCAGCTGCGCTACCCCTGGGAACCCCGAGGAATCCCCGGCAATCTCCGGGAAACCCCAGGAATCCTTGGGAATCTCGGGGATCCTTGTGAAACCGGTGGTCGGGGCCCTTGAGAACCTTGCAACTCTTTATTTCTCAGGGCGGCATGCGCCTTGGAGCATTCCACTACCTGCTGAAGGTACGGTTGCGGATGCTACAGGATGGGTGTGCTATGCGTTCGGTCTGGACGCGCGCCTCCAAGGGGGGCGCGTCGTTCTAGTACTAAATGTCTTTCTGTGTCCCGTTGGCGCTCCAGTACATGGACATTATATTCGAACCTTGTGGCCCAAGATGCCCCCCAGACCCCCCGAAATTAATATTGATGGCGTGGCGACGGGGGGGGCGTGAGTGGACAGAAATATTCGAACCCCAAAGCACCGCCTTTACTGAGATCAACATTGATGTCGGGGGCGCGGGGGTGATTTAGAATCTCCCTCAAATGTGTAAGGGTTCGAATAGATTGTCCATGTACGGTCCCAAGCCTTCGGCCTCAGCCGCTGCGCGGCCGCTCGTGTTCCAGCCGATGTTTGCTGCCTGTGTCGCTCGCTGCACGCGTCAGGTCGGCAGTGCGCCCGTCCGCCCAGGGCCTCGGGGGAGGAAAGGGTACCTATACGGCTGCCCCTCCTTCGTTCCTGCCTTCTCCTGGGCCTCCTGGGGCGCCCTCGTGATCACGGCGGCATTCGCCTCGAAGTCCTGGCCAGAACTCGGGAGGGGAAAGAACACACAGACGCCATGAATCGTCGATTTCCTAGAAAATTTGCGCAAATATGGGAAGTGGGGGGGAAGGCAAAAACCCAGAAGATATGGGAAAGTATGGGGAATCCTTTTGTTTGTGTGTATTTCTTTGTGTGTCCCAGGGCCCCTTCAAGAACGCGCACCCATTGAGGTCTGGGGAGTAGCATCGGCGGCGAGCCCAGGGTGGAAGTGAAAAGGAGAAGGCCTTCTCAGAAGTCGGCGGGGCTTCTCGGAAGCCCTTGCGCCTTCCGAGAAGTGCCCTGCGCCGGCGGGGCAAGCCTGGAACACCTCCCTGAAGGCCAGGGGGCTTCTGAGCCTTCTGGCAAGGCCTTCTCCTTCGCACGTCTCCCTTCGCCCGCCGCCGATGGCGCTAGGGGCACCTCCTGGCCTCACCGGATCCGCCGCGCGCGCCTGGAGCTCCTGGCCGGCGCCATGGCTGGGCTTCGGCGAGCGCGGGGCCCCGGCGAGGGAGGCTGCGCGGCATGATGGGCCGCGCCGCGCGGGGCGGTACCCTGCCGGATGGCGCTCGGGTCCGGGCGCGCGGCGGCCTGCGGTGGCCTCTGCTTGGCCGCCTACGCCCTGCACCTGGTGTGCCTCCGCGAGGGGTCGCTGCGGGAGGAGGCGCCGCTCGGGCAGGCGTCCCTGGCCGCGGCGGCAGCTGCGGCGGCGCCGGTGCCGGCGCGGTCCGTGCGCGGGTTCTCGAGCGGTGGCCGCCCTGAAAATCGGAGGTGGATAGACCTCCTACCCTGACACGTCGATTGAGGAATTGGCCGTTTTCGGTTCGCGAGAGGGCGTCGCGTTTCGGTCCCAGGCCGTTTTCACCAAGGGGAGGTTTGCTAAAAGGAGCTTTGTCCACCGCCGAGAAGAGCAAATGCGAATCCTGCGGGAAGCGGGTGCCGAGGTTCTCCGCCGCGCTGCGGGCCCTCCACGGGCCCTCCACGGGCCCCGGGGCTGTCACAGAGGGGTGCAGGGCAAGCGTCTGGCTAGGAGCGGGTCCAGAGCCCGTGTCTTTCGGGACCCCGTTTCCTGCCACGCCGAGATGGTGGCCAGGAGCTCGCCGTGGCCTCGGCAGCTCCCGAGCGGCCCGTTGCAGGGCCAGCTGGCAGCCGCGGAGCAGCGGGGGAGGGTGCCGTGGCGGCCGTGCCGGCGAGTGAGGCCCGCGGGCCCGCGGGTGGCGGCAGGGGCAGGCCGCGAGGCAACGGCACGCTCGGGTCCCTGGACGTCGAGCGGGTCGCCTGGCTGCACCCTCCGAAGGCGGGCAGCTCTTTCTCAGGGAGGCGTAAGGCTCGAGTGCGCCGGGACTCGGGTTGCCGAGGTGTTTGTTGGACGAGCGCGTCCTTGATTCTGACGCTCCAATGTTCGTGGGATGTCTGCAGCGGGAGCTCGCGTCAAATGTCAGACCGGTTTCGTCATGTTCATGATGGCCCCGTCAGGCCAACCCGAGTCCCCCGTACCAAAGTCTTATGTCTCCCCGACTTTCGTGAACACCCTCTTTGGGTATGCGTGCCGCGGGCTGAAGAATGACGAGTACATCACCCGGACCATGTACGACAGGATGGTGCTCTTCCGGATTGAGAAGATCCCAGATCAGGATGCATCGCTTGGGAGGTTGCCATTCCTATTTGGCGTTGGTGTATCCGCGATCGAAAACCCGTCAAAGTTGGTTCAGCTCCTTGTTGGGGGGATTAGTCTGGACTAATCTGGTTTCATGGATGGGCCCAAAGTCGGTCGTAGCAGCACATCGTTCTCAAGAAGACCTCCCAGGTGTCGCCTCCTGACCCAGAAGCATGGAATTGCCCGTTCCGCGAAGACGGCACCGCTGCTTTGGACCTGCACTGTTCGCACAAAGCCGTCAGCTGGAACAAAAATGCTAGATGCAACCAATGGGACCGATCGCAGGGCAATTTTGTAATGATCCTGCGACAGCCAGAGCAGCGTATCCTGTCGGGTTTCGCCCACGACAAGCACGGAGCGGGCCCCAACAACTCGCACCTGGATGTCCTCTCGTACGCGAAGCTCGTTCAGGGCTGCCAGGTCCGGATGCTCCTCGGCTCCACCTGCTACGACCGGCGCAGGTTGAACGAAAGCACGATCACAGGTGAGCACATAGGTAAGGCGATCAAGGCACTGGACGAGGGATTCGCGTTCGTCGGGATTCTGGAGGAGATCGAGTTGAGTGTGTGTCTTTTCCACGCCATGTTCGGAGGCGCCTGCCGCGCCGCGGAGTTCGTGAACATCCGGCCGAGCTACGACAGATTCCGGAGAGGCCCGCAGCGGATGCAGGCCACGGCGGACCACAACGTCTCCGTGCTGAGCGGCTGGACCGATGAGATCGACCGTCCCCTGTATGAGCACGCCGTCGGCATCGTGCATAGCAACATCCG